GAGATGAAGATGTTAATGTACAGGTCACATACAGTGGAAGGATGGAGATGAAGGGGTTGATATATAGATGAGCGGGATAAGGGGGATGAAATGGTTAATATAAAAAATCAGAACAGAATCAGAATGCAGATAACATAATCAGGAGAGGAGGGGGTAAAAAGGTTAAAATCGTTTAAAACTTTATTTATTTTGCAGCTGCAGCTTGTTTTTCTAAAATACTCATTATGAGGTGTAACGCTGGAAGAATCAGAGATGGAAAAAGATGTCTGGGTTGTTATAGACCATAGACAATATACTTAGCAATAGCATGCAATGTCAGTCAGCAGCTAACAAAGCAAGCAGAATGCTCTCATCTATTAAAAAGGACATTTCTTGGAGGGAAAAATCATTTGTTTTACCCATTTACAAAACATTGGTTCAGCCTTATCTTCAGTATACGGTACAGTTCTGGTTGCCTACCAACAACAAGGTTGGTGTTGGAGGAAAGAAGGTTCCTGACGGAAAGCGGGATACAACAAAGGCTTAAAATGCTCAACGCAAATAAAGCAGTGGGACCAGATAACCTGCACCCCAAGGTACTTAGGGAACTAAGCCAGGTTATAACAAGACCATTATTCCTAATTTTTAAGGAATCCTTAGTGACTGGTAGAGTAGCATGTGATTGGAGGAGGGCTACGGTAGTTCCAATAGTCAAAAAGGGGGCTAGATGCCAACCGGGGAATTATAGGCTGGTCAGTCTAACATCGGTAGTTTGTAAACTGTTAGAAAGTATGATTAAGGACTATTTGGTAAAATTTGTTAAGGATAACTGCATAGTTAATGACAATCAGCACGGGTTCAGGAAAGACCGTTCCTGCCTGACTAACTTGCTAACTTTTTATGAGGGGGTGAGTAGAGATATGGATGGAGGGAAGCCGGTAGATGTGGTATATCTGGATTTCTCAAAGGCATTTGATACGGTACCACACAAGCGCTTACTTCACAAGCTGAGGGCTATGGGCATAGATGAGGTGGTGTGTACGTGGATAGAGAACTGGCTACTTTAAATGGCACCTTTTTAGACTGGGCTAGTGTAAT